AAGGAAGCTACATCTAATTTCATCTAAAAATATATTTTTAGATGAAATTTGAAATCCGTCGATGAAATTAGGTGTAGCTTCCTTTGAAACTCTAAAAATTAGCATACTGCTAACAGCAAAAAGAATCCTAGGGGGTGCCCAGGAAAATGCTAATTTTTTTCGCAAACTCCGAGTGCAAATTTTTTTTGATAAAACTCCATCAGTTGAGTCCAACATCACCTCCCGGCCTTTCTTACGAAAAAAAAAAATTTTTTTTTGAGCTACTATTGCTAATACATCAAATTTTTGAAAAATTTCTTACCACTTCAGATATATTACTAGAACTTTCTGTTGTTTTCAATTGTTGTTCATTTTCTTCTCCATCATTTTGATCATCATAATAACCAATAGCAGTAATAAGTACCGAAATAAAATTAAGTGTCGTACAAATATTTTCCTTTTGCAAAATACAATATTCTATAGGAATACAAAACAAAAAAAACAGCAAGCGTTTCGTTATTTTTACCTGATTGTTATCTGTTCGAGATAAATAATCAAGTAATTTATTTACTTCAGGTACAAGTATAATATTTAAATGATCAATAACAATTTTTGTTGGATGTACTGATAGAATATAACCAATAATTGATAAACAACGAATACGATCATTTGGTTGAACATGAACATTCTCAAGAACATTCTTTTACAAAAAAAAAGAACAACCATTTTATTGTTTAAGATATTTATTTTTCTTACTTTCATAATCGGAAAAATATCATTAAGATATTTCGACATATATTTTCGATTTTCCTTGATTAATTCTTTTAAAGCAATCGAAGCCGATTGAATTAATTCAGGATTTGATAATGCATTTATACATAAATGTACACAATTTTGTAATATATCTTGATGATTACCTAACCAACTACTATATTTTCCTTGAATAAAATCAAAATAACATATTTTCTTGTTTATTAAATAAAGCATACCTAACACTGTGAGTGTAGAATTAATAATTACATTATTTGAAAAATTTAATTTTGGTAAGAGTAAAAAAATACGAGGTAAAACTTGATCTTCATTAGGTGAAATATATTCATATACAGCACCAATTAATTGAATTATGGATTCTTGAATTTGCCATGATTGATTTTGTTCAATAGATATTGATAAATAATTGACTAATACTAGAATATATTTATATATAACAATTTTTCTAATTTCAATTGACTTCATCAAAAGTTCATCCTTGTAGGACAAAGAATCGGTTCGCTATTAGATAATGCAATGTTAGAGATGTCTACTAACTTTTTCGTAGCAACCGATGCTCAAGTTATACTAAAATGTGTTCAGAAGAGGGCTATCTTCCTTGTATAATTGGAGATCCCGAAAGATGCGCACAAAATAAAAAAAATCGTACTTACAAATAAGTAGTCATATTATCCACCATATCATAAACTGTAATTAATAGACATAGTCTTTTTAATTGTTTAATCTCACTAACGTAAGTTCATTTTAAGAACAAACATGTGACATATATAAAAAATGATCGTTCACATTCGAAATGGTTCATTATCAGTTATCCTCAAACATGTGTACTCCTGTCGAATTCGCCACTACTACAAAAGGTCGTCCTTTAATGATATTAGATGGTTCTCCCTCGGACAAAAAAAACGGCCTTTTCCATTTCATTTTTGCATCACTTAATACGTTGTTTTAAAAAAACAAAATATACCAGGAGATGCAGCGTGAAAAGAACTACAATTTACAAAGTAAATCTTATTTTAATTCTGTACTTTTTGTTTTCAAAAAAAGCAAAATTCTGTATGACCAATTTTCGACGCTGCGCAAACATAATTTTTTTCTATGCGAACAAGAAATTCCT